CCCCTCGCCGCTCCTCGCACCGTCTGTCGCTCTTTTTTTCTCTTCTCTTATTGCAATCTACCTCGCTGTCCATATCCTCAATTACTTTAATTATGGCATACCCTAATGGAAAAAGAGCACGCTTTATACGTTGCAAAATAGTCTTTCAGCAAAAAAAAAAAAAAAAAAAAATATTTTTTCAAAAAAAAAAAAAAAAAAAAAAAAAAAAAAAAAAATAAATAAATAAATAAATAAATACATGAATAAATAAATAAATAAAAACAAGAATTAAAAAAAAAATAAATAAAATACTTCAATTATAATTAAATTCAGGAGTTAAAGAAAATGGTTATGCAGTGACTTTTCGAGGCTATGCCATCAATTTATATTCAAAATCTCTTAGCGGTTGAAGGCGCTGCGTGCTCCTTGTTCAATAAAATAAAGGCAAAGTAACGTTTAATTGAAAAGTGCTAACGTAAATTAATAAATCGTCGAGCCTGTTACAATTTGATGCAACTACATTAATTTACGTTGAATAATGCCATTGGATAAAAAGCTCAAAGATTATTGGCAAATTTTCCATCATTCTCCGTTGATATTTGTAAGGGTTCTGAATTTACATTAAAAAAAAAAAAAAAAAAAAAAAAATAATAATAATAAAACAAAAAACAAAATAAAACGATACAGCATATCGGCATTTGCGAACGAATGCACATACGCGATTAAAAATTAATTTAAGCGTTACATTTTTGCTATTATTTAATACTACAAATTTGAAATTGCTTCGCGGCTTAAGGCAGAGGCATTAACGCCGCCTTTATAAATCTACGTCGGGACGTGAATTTTATTAATCGTAAAAAATAATGCAGCGCCAGCATCTGACCTTGTTTACGTTATTTATCTTTTTGATTTCTCGAAACAGGTTATAGTTAATGTAGTTCTAAGTAACGTTCGAGCGTCAATTAAAAGGCCAAGGAAGAATAACGTAGGCTGGTCGCTAGAAGCGCTGCGGGTTAAAGTGAAATCCCCATGATTTTAAGCGAGAAAAAAAAATGAAAGCTAGTAGTTGGTTATCGAACCCCTCGTGATGCTATGGGATTGGATCTTACCACAATCGTAAGTTTGGGCAGTTCGTTAGTCCGTTAAAGAATGATTTCACCTCGCCACCGTGCCTTGTCTCGTCTCTTCAGCAAGGCTCGGCAAGTCGCTCGGCGTCCCAAAAAAGAGATTTATGATTCCGGGGCCCGACTCACTAGGTCTAGAATACTCTCCCCCTCCTCCCCTCCTTTCCACCGTCTCTCTCACTCACTCACTCACTCTCTCTCTCTCTCTCTCTCTCTCTCTCTCTCTCTCTCTCTCTCTCTCTCTATCCCTATCTCTATCTCTATCTATCTATCTATCTATCTATCTCGTTTGCTAGCCGTTCGTCCCCTAATGTCTTCTCTTCTGTCGCTTCTCGGAGCATACGATAAAAGAAGTCGGCGAAAGTTTTGGAGAGAAAAAATCGAGAGGGACGAGACTTTTTAATTAAAGGTTCCGACGCGAGTGCGTGGTTGTTTATTTCTTTGGTGGAGAGGAGTGAGAGAACTGTCATTACGAGAACGGAATTAAGTTGCGCAACACTTGACGAAAAAATATACGTATAAGGTTTTTTTTTCTTTTTTTTTTTCATCGAAGGTGCAGACGACAAAAGGCTTTGCGGACGGCAATGATACGTCCTCCGGAAATTGCCAGCAACGGACTTGGTTGGCCACAAAATCTGCGATTATTTCGAAACTTTTGTCACTGGCTGTATCATAACAACCGTGAGCAAACTTTCAAGGCTACATTTCTGTTAGATGAATACTAATTTTGAATACTTCGTGTACGCCGATCGTGAGCGTGTAGTAGTGGTATCGAAATAAATAACGAATTGAAGTATAATTTTTCCACGTTTTAGAGTAATAAATGTGCGCGTCTTGCTGAATATTGACGGTGGGAATGAAATTTCGAAAGATAATTTATTCTAACGTTTTAGCTCTAAATAACAATCGTTCGATTAAGTAAATATACTCTTAGAGAATAGTTATAGGTAGCGATAGCGATGAGATAGAATTTCTAAATGCTCGTTAAAAAGATAAAATGTTAAGTGAGCATTCGTAAATTTATTGAAGCGTTTTAATCTCCGTAGACGCACGAGCCTTTCTTTATACTACGAAACGGGTTCCGTGAAAGCATCGAAAAAGTATTTTATATAATGTTAAATTTAAATATAAATGCACTTAAAATTACACGATCCCTTTCAATCAACAGGACTACATATTTACTTTTAAAACACGATCTTGGAAATCTTGACTTACCCGACGTGTTAAGTTAGCATTCAACATGAAAACTTTTTCGCTCTCTTGCGCGACCAATAGGTCCAATAAATATGGCACTTGGATATGTATTCTCGAAGAAAGTAAGCAGGTAAAAGTAAGCGCGTTATTGCGAATGTTATTCATCCGTTATAATTCTCGATTATATAAACGCTCATTTTTTCGCAAATGGAAGTAAGGAGGGAGTAAGGTGAAGCGAAGTGGAGGAGGATGACGGGATAGGCGGGTGCGGTGGGGTAGGGTGGGGTGGGTTAAGTTAAATGAGCTGGAGACATAGAATAATAATAAGTTGGCGGCCATTAATCACTCGTGATTCGCGCTTGGTGGTAACAAATCGCTCAATCAAAGTCGCGGCAATAATGTTCAGATTATTCGATAACGCGTACTCTAAAATCAACCGGTGTAGTGTAATTTCAGCGAGACGTACGTGCATATGGATAAACGCGCGCAAGTGACTAACGTTGTAAAAAGAAGGGGGCGGTACGGAGTCTGGCCTGCCAAATTAAACGGGTATTGTTGGCCGCTTCATTATCCTTCGTATTTCGTGGTGGAGGACTGGGGTGGCCGGTACGAGTGGCTCGAAAAGGAGGAAGGAGGAGGAAGGGGAGTTATGTAGACTCCTTGGGCACGGGCTGTCGCATCAACTACGTTACCATGAAATTTATTTGCCTTTGTGCGCGCTTGTCAAAGTATTTATCTTCAAAATTGTTTTATACATTGTCCCTTTGTTCTTCTTATATGACTTCTTAGCTTTGTATGTTATAACGACGGAATTAGCTTAAATCCGCCTCGACAGCTATGAAGTCATTTTGGTTAGACGGAATATATAATTTGCCGAAAGGAAGTTACAGGGAAAAGCTTTATTGTCCTTCATTAATTAATTTAGCCTTAATTAGGCTGGCGTACAATGCCATTGTCGTGGGAAGGTCCGAGCGGCTGCCTTCCTCTTTCACATCTTTCCCAAGAACTGCGGACAAATGTTTCTACTTTTACGTTACATCGAATCTTTCAAATTTAATCCCCGGTTAAAAACACCTACGTTAACGATATTTGCATGTAGAATTTGCACATTGGGATTCCTCTATTATGATCCACCACACAATGAGCAAATCAAGCGGTGAATATGCAAATGAACCGGAAGAAAATTTTCGAATAATCGTGCTACCAGCCCTCGTATTTATCAATGCGCATTACGATAAATACCGGTCGCTTCGAACGATCTTTGGAAATCCAAGAAAAATAAAAAGTGTCGCGAGTGGAGATGGGTAAGTGGGTGGATGGGTAGGTGGACGGCTCTGGGGAAGAAGGGGGGTCGGAGAAGATAGTCGACGATGTGGCGATAAATCTCTCTCCCTTCATCTCCCGCCTCTACTGTCGAGGACCGCGCGACGGCCGACGAGGGACCTCGGAGTCACGTTACCGTTCCCATGTGCGCGATAACACTCTACAACTAGATCGTTCGCAATTACGCTGCATTAAAGCGCACCCGCGTCGAGACGACCGTATCTCGCGCGAGTCGTCTCTCTTTTCTTTTCGCCGTTATTACGAACGTCCCGCGCCGCTCGTTATTTCTTTGCTAGCTATACGCCGTGATGTGGTGGCGTGGCGGGGCGGGGCCGGGCGGGAGTTGTGGAAGGGGCTTTTCATCCTCTTCTTACCTCTCTTAGTTCTTTTTCCGATTAATGTTACTCTGGGGTATTGCGAATGCGCAAGGCTTAGCGTCCGATGATGACGCTGCGCGCCGTATGAAGAAGTCCAGGCGAATGCATTTTTCGTTTACGTCGATAGGGTGGCGGTGGCGCTGAGAGGGGGAGGGAGATATAAGGCTCCATTTTCACGGTGGTGTTTGGCTTTTTTATGTTATGTGCTTCTAGTGTTTGTCCGCGAGTCATAAGCGGCCAGTCTTCGGTGAATTTAAACGAACGAGACGAACGTGTTTGTATACAAGTTTTATGGCTTTTGAAGGTTAAACGTGGCGCACGTAAAAAGTCGCGTTTTCTGGCATTTATATTGTTGTAAAGTTCCGGGAAAATTGCCTTTATTTATAAAACTAGCGAGCTCCTTTCGATGGGAATATTAACTAACACGAATTTATTATTATTTAAAAAAACAATCATTCAA